ATCTATCTGAACGTGTGTGTGTGTGTGTGTGTCTGTCTGTCTGTCTGTGTGGTATAGATTCAGTTTTTTCCATACATTTTTCTTGCTGTAACGACCTTTTCTTTCCCTTTTGAGTGCCACAGTGCTTGTCCTGACCATCAGTTTAGGTTTTAGTCTCCTTCCAGATTCTCTTTTCTGTTGTGTTGTTTCATATCCTTATACCACCACTGTACAGTCTCGATTACTGTAACATAAAATCACATCGTGTAAATCCACTAATTTTACTCTTCCTTAAAAAAATTATTTTGGCTATTCACAGTCCTTTGAATTTCTGTATAAATTGTGGAATGGACTTGTGAATAACTAGTGAAAGTCTGGTTAGCATTTTGATAGAGAATGGATAGTATTTTTAAATCAAATTGGGAAAAACTAACATTTTAATAATGATGTTGCCTGTTAAAAAATGACGGTTTTAAAGTTCTTCCTTTTCAGTCTTCTCCTTTTCTTTCTTTCTTTTGTGTTACTGACCTTCAGTACTCCGTGACTAGAAACATTCAGCACATTCTTGCCTGTTCCTGATGTTAGGGGAAAATGTTGATTTAATCATTAAGTATGCCAACTGTTCATTTTTATATCAGATTGAAGAAGTTCTTTTCTATTTTGAGTTTGCTGGATTTTCCTAAAAATCAGAAATGGGTATTGAATTTTGTTGATGCTTTTTCTGCATCTATTGAGATGATTATATGGCTTTTATTCCTTATTGTGAATTAAATTAACTTTAAAAATGATGAACCATTTTCCAGATTTTATTTCTGTTGAACTAGTTTTTGCTCTTCATGACCTCTCACTGGTCTAGGACCCAAGCCAGAGTAACACATTGTTGTCTACGTTTCCCTTTGTCGTGTGACAGTTTCTTAGTGCCCCTGTATTTCATGACCTTGACAGCCTTAGGAAGTACTGGCTGTGTATCCTGTAGAATGTTTCCCAAGCTCGGTTTGTTTGACACTTTATTTATGATTAGCCTGTGGTTGTGGATTTTGGAAAGAATACTGCAGAACCCTTGTGCCCGTGACATCTACAATGCCCCTGGCAACACCCACCCTGGTCATTTGGGTCAGGCAGTGTCTGCCAGTTTTCTTCTTTGTAATGTTGCTTTCTTTTTCCTTATTCAGTTCTTTAGAAACAAGCCACTTAGTCTAGGCTACCTTAAGGGGATGGCATCGTGGGGAGAGGGGAGGAGAGGAACTTAAGCCCCACCTCCTGGAGGAGGAGCATCTCCATATATTTGAAATTCTTCAGGTCAGATTTGACTGATTTTTGAATTTTAAATCAACCTCATGTTTCTGGATAAACCCCACTTGGTTGTGATGTATTATCCTTTTTATTTTTGTTGAGATTCCATGTACTTTTACTTTTAAAAAGGATTTTGTTTCTGTATTAATGAAGAACATTGCTCTGTAATTCTTTTTCTTCTAATTTTTACACAATTTGCTCAGTCTTTTCAACCCATAAATTTTCACTGTTGGTAGAATGACTTATTTTTATTTGATAATATATCAGTTATTCTATAAGCATTAAAAACTTTGTGAACTTTTTATAAGCAGTATTTTCTATTTTTATATATATATTTCAGAGAACTAACCATTGTTTCTGTTTAGATTTTGGGATAGAATATTGATTTTTTTTTTTTTTTTTCCAGAACACTGAGATCATAGCTTCATTTCAGAATTAGCTGGCAAACTGCAAAATATATACAAGTCTGAGTATCGTTCCCTCTTTGCTTTTCTAGTTCTTTCTACATTTGTGAAATAAAGCCTAAACCTCTCTGTTTTTTAAGCACTTTGATGTTGATTTTCATATGTACTCTCTATTCAGGTTTTCACATTAAATCAGTAACTAAAAATCAAACCTTTGACTATTTTTGGCAGTGTCTATAGTGAAATGAAAGACACGCACATTTAAATGTTTACACAACATAATCTTAGGATAGTTTGATTTTTGTTACAGCCCTACACTACCCTATGGTGGAATGTAGCTTGTTAATGACATGCCAGGTAATATTTGTTAAAAATTATACAGAGGGCCAGGTGCGGTGGCTCATGCCTGTATTCCCACCAGTGTGGGAGGCTGAGGTGGGTGGTTCATGAGGTCAGGTGTTGTAGACCCTCCTGGCCAACATGGTGAAACCTCATTGCTACTAAAAATAGAAAAATTAGCTGGGTGTGGTGGCGGGCGCCTATAATCCCAACTACTCGGGAGGCTGAGGCAGGAGAATTGCTTGAACCTGGGAGGCTGAGGTGTCAGTGAGCTAATATCACACCACGGTACTCCAACCTGGGCAACAGAGCAAGACTCTGTCTCGAGGGCGGGGGGGATATGTGTGTGTGCGTGTGTGTGTGTGTGTGTGTGTGTGTGACACACAGAGTCAACATTTTGGCAGACAGGTTAATTTTCTAAACCATGTGGTCAAGGGAAATGCATTTTTTTAAGCCCCATATTTAGAGTAAGAGGTAGTATTTCTTCGGTGACTGAAGAAGTAAGTCTTAGATTAGTGCATGTTGTCAAATGGTCTGCAGTTGAGCATGGTATCTGCCATGTCTGTGTTAGTTTAGAGTTTCCCTAATCCTTGCTGTAGTTCAAGGATTAACTGGGCCCTAAGGTTTGGACCAGAAATTTACATTCTAGGATGGTTTCATCACTCAAAAATATTCTTTGTGCTATCCTTTTGTGTCCATACCTTACCTTCTTTCCTAACCACTGGTTACCAGTATAATTTTGTTCCTTGGAGAATATCATATAAATGGAGTCATTGCAGTGTGTAACCTTTTGAGATTGACTTCGTCCCCTCAGTATAATGATGCCTTTATGGTTTTATCCCTCTTATAGCAATAGGTCATTCCATTTTATTGCGAAGTAGCAGTCTGTGGTTGGATGTACAGCAGTTTATTCATTCACTCATGGAAGGACATTTAAGTGTTTCCAGTTTTGGTGATCCTGAATAGAATAAACAGCTTCCTATAGGTCTTTATTTGAACATAAGGTATCATTTCTCTAGGGTAAATATCTAGGAAGAAACAATTTTCAACCCATCTTTATCCTCTTTAGATTTCTTAGATGGAGATTTGGATGCAGAAGAAACTATATTGATTTCACGTTGTCTTGTTTTACATTAAACTTGTTTGAAAAGTCTTTGACCTGTGCTCGCAGTTAATAGTCACATTGAAAATGACTTTGTAGAATCTTTGCTTTGTTGGTAGTGCTTTCTCTTCCTCCCTTTTGGCCTTGCTACTCTACTCAGGGTGGTCTGGGGACCTGAAATGTTGGCGTCACCTGGGAGCTTCTTAGAAATGCAGAATCCCAGGCCTCACCCCGGATCTGTTGAGTCCGAATCTGCTTTTCAAGATGATTCCCAGTGGTGACTGGGCATTGAATTGGAGAAGTGCCGCTCAGGAGTGTCATGGGAGTAGAGAAGAGATGTCCTAAGGAAGCTGGCTTTGGTTCGGTTGGAAAGTGTGGTGCATCGTGAATCTTACAGCCATCCATTCTGGTTTCAAGCAGTCGGTAGTCCAGAAACGATGATACCAAACCAGCAAAAACCCTGAGATGTTGGTACTTTCAAACTCTGCGGTGTGCTGGACAGCGGCATGCTGAGCGGGAGTACTGCAGTCATCAGGTCTACAGGTCATCTCCTGCTCTTCAGGCATTTGTGCTCCTGAAGATATATTTCCACTTGTAGGATTTATAGTAGAGTATATGCATTTGTAGTTGGTCTTTTTACATAGAAAATAGTGGGAAAGGCAAGAATATGAAATGACTGTGACATTAGTTTATTTTCATTTTTTTCTGCATTTTAAAGTTCAGTTATTTCTATTAAGAGTAAATAACATCTACATATTATAAATCGTGAGAATAAAGGAGCAAATATGTTCTCTACATTGATCAAAAGTATTTAAATTAACCTTGCTCTCTGTAGGTACTGATTTTATATCTGAAAGTGAGTCACAGAGACTGATCTGAAGTGAGAAGTGATTCTTTCACTGGGAACATGAGTGACACTTGGCAATAAGAATTGTCCACGAAGAAATTACTTAAAAAAAATGTATTGTTTTTTTTTTTTTTGCTAGGGAGTTTTGCTCTTGTTGCTCAGGCTGGAGTGCAGTGGCGCAGTCTTGGTTCCCTTCAGCCTCTGCCTAACAGGTTCAAGTGATTCTCCTGCCTCCGCCTCCTGAGTAGCTGGGATTACAGGTGTGTGCCACCATGCCCGGCTAATTTTTTGTAGTTTTAGTAGAGGCGGGATTTCACCATGTTGGGCAGGCTGGTCTCAAACTCCTGACCTCGTGATCCGTCCGCCTTGTTCTTGCAAAGTGCTGTGATTACAGGTGTGAGCCACTGTGCCTGGCTGAAATTACTTTTAATTTGGGCTGAGGTTAGGGGAATATTTGTAGAGAATAATATTCAGATAAAAGCTCATTTTAGTGTGAAGATGTTACTGAAGAAAAACAGTTTCTCCTTTTCAATAGTCTCAGTCAAAGATAGTGATAAATTAACTCTAGATAATGAGATTGAAGTAATAAAAAGGAATGAGAAATGAAGGAAAGATTTGGGAGGCTGCAGCAATAGGACAACAGCACACCTGGACTGCTTGTCTGGCAGTGAAGGAGAAGAGTTATAAAATACTGAGCCTGTAAGTTATAATAAACTCATAGAACGCTCTAGTGTTAGTTGAACTAATACGTTGAACTTTGCTATAAACTGTATTAAACTGAAAGCAGTAAGTCCAGGAATATTTGGAATTTGTTTGTTCTCTCAGAAGTGTAAGCAGCAGTGATGTGTAGGACTTTGTGTATTTAAGGTTATTTTCTCCTGGCCTCAGGTTAGGGTTTCACATGGCCTTTTAACAGGACATTTTGCACTTCTTACATCTTAAATATAAGCAAATATTGTAGAATTCTTTAATATTTAATTCAAAAGAATATGAACTTACTCTCCTTCCCTTTTTGCCTTGTGTGTCTGCGATGTAGGGAGGTATGGAAACGCTGGAACTTCAGAAGGACATTAAGGAAGAATCAGATGAAGAAGAAGAAGATGATGAAGAATCTGGACGATTACGTTTTAAAACTGAAAGGAAAGAAGGAACAATTATTAGGCTCTCAGATGTGACTAGAGAGAGAAGGAACATTCCAGAAACTTTGGGTAACTTTTTTCCCTGTCTCCCATCCTCCTTCACTGTCACTTCAGCTTCCTCTGTAGTATTGCTGTAATTAATCCAAGTAGGCAAAGAAGGTTGACCAGGTAGTTGTGGCTGTGTCCAGAGAGTGTTGGACTGTGAAGTGAGTGCTCTTATATTACCGTCAAACTCATTCTTTAAAGTCACTGCTGTTTCTGGATTTAAAATGCTTGAATCAAATGTTTAAGATAATTAAACAAAATTTTTTTTTTTTGAGTCTGTGGCCTAGAGCTGCTCTTGTGCATACCATGTGGTTCCTGGCTGGTCTTGAAAAGGTGGCACGGGGATGGTGGCTGCGGGGCCATGTGACCCTTCCAAGACCCTGAGGTTGTCAGGGCTAATTCTGCACAAGACTGGTTTATATTTTGTACTGATGTCTCCATAAACTGTGTGTGTATGTGTGTGTGTGTGTGTGTGTGTGTGTGTGTGTGTGTGTTTTCTCCAGTTCCTCTGTCTGTAATGAGACAAGTTGACTCGTTTATAGAAATAATCACTCTGAGCAAAGCTTGCTGTGTGAAAGGTCTGCTATAGACTGCTGCTGATTCAGAGACTTTTCTTTTTTTGAGACGGAGTCTTGCTCTGTCAACCAGGCTTTAGTGCAATTGTGCGATCTTGGCTTGCTGCAACCGCCACCTCCCAGGTTCAAGCGATTCTCCTAGATCAGCCTCCTGAGTAGCTGGGATTACAGGTGTGTACCACCATGCCTAGCTAATTTTTGTACTTTTAGTAGAGATGGGGTTTCACCAGTGGTCAGGCTGGTCTCAAATTCCAGAGGACTTTTAATAGCACCCCTACCCCTCATTATACAGCTTTTTTTAGTGTCCACTGCAAAAATTAAAGAAGTGATTCCAAATGTGAGTGAGCCTCAGACTCTCAGAGGACTTCTTAAAACACAAATTTGGCCGGGCGCGGTAGCTCAAGCCTGTAATCCCAGCACTTTGGGAGGCCTAGGCAGGTGGATCACGAGGTCAAGATATCGAGACCATCCTGGTCAACATGGTGAAAGCCCGTCTGTACTAAAAATACAAAAAATTAGCTGGGCATAGTGGCACGTGCCTGTAATCCTAGCTACTCAGGAGGCTGAGGCAGGAGAATTGCGTGAACCCAGGAGGTGGAGGTTGTGGTGAGCCGAGATCGTGCCATTGCACTCCAGCCTGGGTAACAAGAGCAAACCTCCGTCTCAAAAAAAAAAACAACAAAAAAACCCCACAAATTTGGGGACCCACTCCCAGCGTCTCTGATAATTGGTTTAGGGTAGAGCCCAAGAAAGTTGTATTTCTTTTCTTTTTTTTGAGTTGGAGTCTCACTCTATTGCCCAGGCTGTAGTGCAATGGCATGGTCTCGGCTCACTGCAACCTCCACCTCTTGGGTTTAAGCAATTCTTCTGCCTCAGCCTCCTGAGTAGCTGGGACTACAGGCACGTGCCACCACACCTGGCTAATTTTTGTATTTTTAGTAGAGATGGGGTTTTGCCATGTTGGCCAGGCTGGTCTCGAACTCTTGACGTTGCGATCCTCCCGTCTTGACCTCCCAAAGTGCTGGGATTACAGGCCTGAGCCACCGTGTCCTATTTCTAATGAGTTCCCAAGCAGTGCTGCTCCTGCACTGGTGCTTCCAGAACCACTGGGATATTGTCCTTTTAAGGAGGAAGGCAGGCAGGTGGGAGGACACAGGGGCTGTACCTGCTATCTGGTCTTGGTCTAGATAAGAATCGAGACTTAACTCTCATGACTACTTTTATTACTTCTTAAAACCATTATTCATAGTCATTTTCTGTCCCAAACAAGAGCATGTGTCTTTAAGTAGCAGATCCAAATTTTGTGGGAGGACACTAAGCTCCAAAGATGCACAAGTTAGCCGTAGGCAGCCAATCTTACGTTAATTTACTAGGCAGGATTGTTGGGAGAGAATCTTCTAGAATCTTTGTGTTCTCCTTTCTTTGTGGTCTAGTTTACTACTACTCCATCTTGTGGCCCAAGATTTCCCTAAGCTTTTTTAAAGTTACGGTATGAAGTTGCCAGTTGATCTGAAGAAGATTTCTTAGAAGCGTCTTTAATTTCTCAAAAATAGAGTCTGGAATTGGCCTTGGGTGGAAAGAAGATGGAACGAAGGTCTTAAAACAGAAGGAAGGGAATAAACAACAGGAAGAATTGGTAATATCACAGAATAGTTTTACTTGAGCAGAGGTGTATCAGTCTTGGCTTGGGATGAGATGAACAAGAGAAAGTTTTCCATACTTGGCAGAATACTGAGGAATTCTAAGGGCATTCCAGAGCTACCACCTGGAAGGCAGAAGGCTTCCTGAACTGGGGAGGGTTGGAGGAGGAGAGGATTAGTCATCACTACTATTTCTTTTGCTGGGTCTTGCTAGCTGGGCTGTGGCTTTGATTCCATAAATTTAAAACATGATGTGTAGAAGCATAGTAACTGAGAACTCCCCAGGGTAGCCACTTGCTAGACAGCATTACAAATAGGGGCCTTTCCCCTCTGTAGTCTGCTCCCTGTGGAGCTGCTGTGGATTTCGTGGTTCGTCTTCCCTCTTCTCTGCCACGCTGCCCTGATTTGTGGTGCCTCTCTGCCTTTCCCACCTCCCTGGTTTCCAGCTGCGTCATCTCATCCCTGTTCATTTTCCCTCCACCCAACCACTGATGACATCCTCGTTCAGATGATGGCCGGCTTGCATGTGTGCATGGGGTCGGTCTCATTCCCGATCTCCTTCTCCTCAGGACTTCTCCTTCATTTTGCTTTTTCCAAGGTCATTTATAATTTTGTGTATTTAAGAAACTTGTATCAAATCTGTTTTGCTCTTTAAGGCATCTGGCAGCTTTATGTTCATGTAATCCTGGGACAAGAAGCTGGAAGGGTTGGTTTGTGGTGGGCAAGTCGTCTTCTTTGAATTATGGGGGAGCAGTATGAGGTCCTTAGAGACAGATAAACATAAGCAGCTTGACTAATGACCATTCTTGTAAACTATCAAAAAGGACTTAACTGCATTTGTGTAGAATGTGGTTGTTTGGCAAGATGATAGGGCAGGTGAAACCATACTTAAAAGTACATTTTTCTGCTCAATATTTGTGAGCTCTTAAGAAAGCACAGTGCTTAGAAACATGAGTTTCAAATAACTGTAAAGTTAGGATTTTTCCTAATACCAAGGAGGATTTTTTTCTGTCCATCAAAAGATCGTTTTTCTAAAACGGTTCTCTTGTTACCTTCAGTACCTCTTCCCCCAAACAAAAGATGAATTTTACATCTGAGGAAATATTTATTTAAAAAGAGATAATGCCACAGTATTTGGTAAACTAGACATTTGAATCCATTTTTACACATCAGTTTATTTGTATGCTCCTAGAGATAAAAATCAAAAACTCTGAACAGTCCAGGTTCTGTGTAGAAATCATTTCATGTATTTGATTGTGTGAAGCGTTTGCCTACTCTCTGTGATGGGATTATAAATATACTGCCCCCAGAGTACCTGGCGTCTCACATGAGATGTATTTTTGTGTTGTTTTTCTGGTGCTATAATTTGTTAGTGTCGAGAACACTTCCTACTTTAAAGGGGAGAATCAGATAATGCTCTGGTATCCCCAGTTTCTGAATCCAGAAATTGACATGTGAAATGAGTTATCTTCCAATCTAGGGGAGGGAGTTTTGGTCACTTTTAGTCTTTTTTTCACATTCAGATCCCCATGAAAACCATTCATACACATGACAGTCTCAGCAGTGAAGGGACAGTTATATGCACAGTTGTTGATTGGTATTTTGAATGCAGATTGGATTACAAGTAGAATTCTAGGCTTTCATCTAGGTTAAGATCTTAATTGACTAGCTTTTTTTCTCAGTCAGGATTGTGGAAATTAAACCTTACAGAAAAAGATTTGAGTGACAGTGTTCTCAGTTTTCCCAAGGATGGTACAGAACTGCATGCTTAGGAAGTAAATGAGTTCGTTACATACAGCGGATGTCGTAGGGTGTAAGTGCTTCACTCCTTCACTGTGCTCAGTTGAGCAGGGCTACAGAGCAGGCGTGTGTAAGGGAATGGTTCACTGTGAAAGTGCCAGTCGCTGTTTCTAAAGACAGTCTGACCAGTGTCCCCCAGTTGCCAGTCCTGCAAGTTGAGAGCTGTCTCTCCGGTTGCCCTAGGAGGTGGCCCTCGGACTGCCTTTGGAAGCAGTGTAAGCCATAAATGAGAGACTGCATTTATTTTAGTTAGGCTTTTTCATTCATTATCTGTGAGTAGGCTTCAAGATTATTTTATTCTAAGTTTCATTGGCATGTGTCACATGTTGTTTTTTATTGCTGTAGCCTAAAGAACCTGCTTGTACACCCACAAAATATTCTCTTTTTTTTTCTTTTGAAACAGTCTCACTCCGTCACCAGGTGCCAGGCTGGAGTGCAGTGGTGCGACCTCGGTTCACTGCAGCCTCCGCCTCCTGGGTTCAAGCAGTTCTGCCTCAGCCTCCCGAGTATCTGGGACTACAGGCGCGTGCCACCACGCCCAGCTAATTTTTTTGTATTTTTAGTAGAGATGGGGTTTCACCATGTTGGCCAGGATGGTCTCATGATCTGCCTGCCTCGGCCTCCCAAAGTGCTGGGATTACAGGCGTGAGCCACTGCGCCTGGCCCAGAAAATATTCTCTTTAATTAATATCATTAATTTCAGAGGCTTTGTGGGAAACAGGTTTCTCTGTAGTCACAGACAGTTCAGACTTGCCAGTGCCAGTAGTGGCTCTCTGTCTGGGGTTTGTACTGGCAAGGCTTTCAACCTTTTCTTCATTCAGTTGTCTGCTAAAACAACAATTTGAGACTATCATTTATTACTTTTGTTTTGCCAAACAAATTGTGTATTCTACATTTATTTCAACTATTATAAAATTACTTGCATGCAAATATATTTTTCTTAACATTTTAGAAAGGGCAGTACAGTGTAAAACTTCGTTACATTGAGGTATATATCTCTTTAGAATCTGGATGTAGTTCAGAAAACACTTAAAGGGAAATTAACATTTCAGTTGAAGTTACAAATGTAATTTCCATCCTGTCATATTTTGGTGACCTTTTGTGACAGCTTGTCTCAATTGGAGGAAAGCATTTTTACTTGCTGATTAAAGATGTCATTTGAAACCATTTTATTACTGAGGATAGTGAAATTAACCTTGACACTCAGAACCACTAGAAAAATAATTGCTGATTCACTGCATAAAATGTGTGTGTGAACTAATCAGATAGTCAAGATTAGAATAAAAGTCTATGCTGGTTAAGAGGAGATTAAAGTTTCTTTCAAATGAGGTCTAGTTTGATTTGAAGGGAAGAGGGGTACCATAGAAACAATTTCAGGAAAATGAAATGTGGCTTAGAGATTTGGAGGAGTTTGGAGGTGACGATGGGATCCAAGGTAGAAAGTGGAGTCTGGTAATCCTGAAAGCTTGCCTCGGCTGGGAAGAAGCAGGAGAAGGCGTCTTGGTATCCTCAGTGACATTTTTAGAAAATATGGTGTAAGATCTGTTGCCCCAGTTTAGCTAGTGTTGTAAAAGGACCACACGTGGCTAAATCGTTGTTTCCCTTTAGGAATCTAGAATAGTGTGCCATCTGAAGTTTCTTAGGGCCAGGGCCCATGTTTCCTATATTGCTAAAGCATCGGCTGAGCAGTGAGCAGCTGCTGGATACTCCATGGTGTTTGCATGAGTGTTTTCTCATGTGACTTTGCTCTCATTTGATTTGGCTTCTCTGTCAGGCTGCATACATATAAGAAGGCTTCACAGTGAAGGGTTTTCTTTTCTTTTTTCTTTCTTTTTTTTTTGAGACGGAGTCTCGCTCTTGTTGCCCATGCTGGAGTGCAATGGCACAATATCGGCTCACTGCAACATCTGCCTCCCAGGTTGAAGCGATTCTCCTGCATCAGCCTCCCGAGTAGCTGGGATTACAGGCATGAGCCACCACGCCCAGCCTAAGGTTTTAAGAAAATAAACACAAAAATTGAAATGATGTGTATTAAATTGAGTTTTTCATTCTTTATGAAATCACTTTCACTGGACTTCGGAGTGAGTTCATGAATAGTTTTGTTTTTAAATGAGAATGATCAGGAATTTGTTTTCTTGAGTCTACGTGCCATTGTATGCTAATAATACTTCTACTGGCTTCAGTAAGGAAATCATGCTGGTGTAGGACTGGAGGAGACAGCTCCTGACTGGTGTCATGCACCATCAGTAAAAGATGTGACTGCAAAATGCCTTGTAGTATGAGGACAGTGGTTAAATTTCACTTCAGTGTCTTCTTAGCCTCACTGAACACATATCCGTGTCTCAAACGAAAATAATCTGAAGCTGATTGGCGACACTTGCGTCCTATCACAAAGGAAAGCCTGGACTGCTTTATCAGATCTCATTAGCCAGTTGTACGTGTTGCTGGTTGTATCACACTGCCACTGCTAGTCTGGCATTTACTGCAGGTGAAGCACATGCTTTGCAAAGTTTGATCGTCACCTCATTCTTTCCTGTTTCTCCTTATACATCTAGTGTGGACTGTTGGAAAGTAACTAACACATACACATCTTCTCACATAGAACTTTCAGCAGAGGCCAAGGCAGCATTGCTGGAATTTGAAGAAAGGGAGCGACAGCATAAACAAGGACGCTACAGCTCCAGGCGGGGAGGACGGCGAGGAGGCCCGCTGATGTGTCGCGGTGTGGGGGACCAGAGGAGAGAGAGCACCGAGAGGGGCAGGATGAAGGACCACAGACCCGCGCTGCTTCCTACACAGCCTCCTGTCGTGGTAACTTCAGACTTTATTGTAGCAGCCCTAGAACTTTAGAACAAATGGAAGTAAACTTTTGTGGGTATCCTGTGATAACATTTCTCTCTTCTTAGTCTGAAGTAAAGTTGAGTAGCAGGAGTAATGGCTGAAGCTTCTGTTTTCTAGTATCCTGTGATTTTGCACAGTCTTAGAAATTCAGTACTCCAGTTACCTGGTAGTAGGAACTCATCCTGTACCACAGGCACTTCCAGAGGAGGAATGAATGAGCGACCTGATGTCCCAGGATGACAGAAGCTCCAGTGGGACCTTGCTGCCCAAAGCCTCAGGGGAGGCACTTCTGAGTGGATTGCGTTGGAAACATGTTACAGACAGAATTTAGGCAGTTGCTGTTTGTTCTGTAAAAATATTTTTACCTTTATACTGTTTACCATAGATTTTCCCTAAATAGCAGTTTCTCAGAATTATTATCTGTTCTCTGTAAAACGTTTTCATAGTTTACAGTATAGGAATACATCACGTACCTGTCATTTCAGCTAGAATTTCCTTTTTTATTCAAAGATGGCACATCTCAGAAACGAAGACAGGAATTGTTGATTTTTTTATTGTTCTTGTTTGTTTTTGGGACAGAGTCTCCCACTTTTGCCTGGGCTGGAGTGCAGTGGCATGATCTTGGCTCCCTGCAACCTACACCTCCTGGGTTCAAGAGAGTCTCCTGCCTCATCTTCCTTAGTAGCTGGGATTACAGGTGCTTACCACCACATGCAGCTAATTTTAAAAATATGTTTAGTAGAGACTGGGTTTCACCATGTTGGCCAGGCTGGTCTCAGACTCCTGACCTCAAGTGATCTGCTCGCCTCGCCTCCCAGAGTGCTGGGATGACAGGTGTGTAATCCCATTATTTCAGTTAATCTTTAGGGTTGTGTGGCTTTTTCCTTAGAAGTCATTCTTCAAGGAAAAATTTGCTTAATACAAGCACGTGTCCACTTAGGGAAAACAACATTTCACTTGTGTTGAAATGTTATATTTTAGGAGGCATTCATTTGTGAAATAACAAAGTAGAAAAGATACCTTTTGTTTTCGCATGAGAATTCCAACTCTGATGTGTAAAGGAAGGGAGAGGAGTAGATAGGCATACACAGTTGGTGACACTAGGAACCGCTGTTTTCTTACACAGCTGTTTGGTTTCTGAGCGTCTCTAACAGCTGGATTTACAGTTGGTCTTCGTTCCCTTGGTTGCTCCCTGTCTCCACCCCACACCTCCACTTGCCAGATGTTGAATAGTCAGTTTCGTTATTTTGACCTCTTTGGGGGCCAAACAACTCTCGCATGAGACCAGGTTTGACGTAATTGTGTCTCTGTGATCCTGGAAAAGTTGCTGAACTCTTTCTTACCCACAAGGAAGGGGAGAACATGTATCTATCACCTGCCTCCTTAAAGAGGCTGAACTGAGACGGCGTAAATGCTTTTACAAATGTCATGGACGTTCGGTTGGCCTCATTCGTGGTGGTGATGTTGTATCTCTGGATCGTCATGTGACTGGTTTGGAAGGTTAGAGCCTACTGTGTACTAGGAGTAAACTAGGCAGCCACCCTAAGACTGACGCAGCTTTGACTGGAAGTGATAGTCTAATCTTCGCTAATCAGTGATGAGATGAGGGCTGTATCATCCTCCACCCCAACTACATTCTCTCACATCGGGAGCTTTCTCCATCCTATTCGCTCCACATTCCAGAGCTATCTTGGGTCTTTTGAGTCTTGATCCCCAGAGTTTTGGAAAGAATATTTTTGGCTCATGCCTCTGCTTTCACCCGTTTTCTCCTTGGTTGGCTCCTTGCTGCCTGGACATTCTGTTCACAGTCGTGAATTGTGCCCTCAGAGATGCCACCTGATCCCTTGTCCTGTTGGAGCCCACTCGGGGGCCTTGGGCATCACACATAGTCTCTTTTTCTTGAGCAGCTCTTTCTTTGGGCATATGAGATGTTGGGTGTACTCTCTTACCTTCTAGAATGGTTTCTTGTTTCTCTCATTTGACCTTTTGATTTTGAAATTAAACTTTTATTTTTTAATTGCATGTATTTCTGAGGTACAGTGTGCTATTACAGTACGTAAGTGTTGTGGATGGATTATAACAAGCTAGTTAACGTAGCTGTCCCTGTAAATACTTCCGGTTTTGGTATTGAGCACTTAAAATCTCGTTGAACAGTTTTGAAATGCCCTTTTCTTCGGTTGCGTTTTTCTTCAGGTTTTGTTCTTAGTCCTCCTTTTACTCAGTGGTCTCACCAGCGCTGTTCCTCATGCTCACCTGCATCTCTCAGGGAGTCTTAGTCTCTAGACTAACCTCTTTCCAGCTCCATGTCTCCATCTTTCAGCCGTCCCTGCACCTCTCCAGATTCGTGTTTCACAGGCCGTGAATGTCACTTGTTTAATCAAACAAACATGATCTTTCCCTCAAAACTCCATTGTGTTCTTGAATTAATGACTGTGCATTGTGCTCACTCTCAGTTCAGTTAAAATTTAACTTGGCGTCCCTGTGTCTGTTAGTGTGCTATCTATGGGATGTGATGGTGAGTCAGATAGACAAGATCCCCACGCTCACGGGCAAATGTGCACAGAGGTGATGAGTTAAGGAGGGAATATACTGCGTTCTGGGAGCATGTATGCTGGTGGATTTGAGCTGCTACCAGAATCTTTTGAACCATCTCCCCTGAGGAAGGATAGCTGGGCCAAGGTCACTGACAGTTTAGTTTTAGAATTCTGCTTACTGTTCCTCTGCGATGTCTTCTTGCTCTTGGTCAGACTGTGGCTGTTCCTGTGATTCAGCCCTCGCCATAGCCTGTTAGATGGTCTCCTTCCGTCTTCTTTACCCTCATTCATCTCACACTGCTGTGAATGATCATCTTCCTACCAAAGATAACATCTGTGATCCCTTATTGTACCTGTTGTCTATGGCATAATAATGGATCATTTGCTTGGAATTCAAAAGACCTCCATAATTTGGCATCATCTGAGGGAAAATAGCTTGTTAAATTAGATGGCTGAATTAGTAGTGGTCTACTGCTAATTAGCTGTGTGGCCAGTTTGACTAGTGATTAAAATCAAAACCTGGAATCAGATGGCCTGAATTCCAGTCCCAGCTTTTCTGCTTTTCAGCTGCTTGATCTTGTAAAAGTATGTCAGTAGATAGGACCTACTTTATGCGGGGGAGCCAGGTCAGCTACCTTTCTGTACTGACCTTATAGTAGGCACTCAAAGTGTGGGGAAGGTTCAGTCCACAGCAGCTGTTGCTGTTGTTGATTTCTTTCTTTCTAGTGACCGTTTAATAACTAACACTAGAGACAAAATGACCAAGCTTGAGATCTCTGACCACTTTGAGTGTGATTTTCATACCTTCTTTCTTGCCGCCTTTCCTGGTCTCCTAGTTTTACCAAGCAGGTGGGTCTCTGCTGCTTCTGCTTCTTTCTGGATATCTGTCTCTCACTGTCCTTATACTTCTCTCTCCTTCACCACTGAGTTCAGGTGCCACCTTCGCAGAGAAGCTCCCTCCCCGCTCCTACAAAGAGTCTGGCTCTTTGTAGCCCCGTCCTTTCCTTGTGCCTCAGTTCCCTGGCAGGGTAACTGGCGAATCTCCCGCCTTTCCTATCAGAGTTCCTGGAGGAGAAAGCAGGACTGCTACAACCAGGGCACGGCAGCAGCTCTTCTGTGCCCGGCAGGCTTTGCTCAGTGTGGGCAGTTTTATTCCCTGAACTGAATTTTTCTTTTTTTCAAAATTCATGTTGGGTGCTTTGGGTCTGTCGTTTTTTTCCCTCTTGCCTTGAGATTGACTCAGTTGTGAGACAGTAGCCCTCACTGAAGAAGAGAAGCTCCTTTATCCTGCCGTTTTGATACAGGGTGTTAACTACAGACTTCTTACACTGTAACTTAAAAAATTCAATCAATGTAAATTTGTAACACATCAACATTCTTTTAAATGTTGATTTCGGTGAACTTTTTTTTTTTTTGTGATTTGTAGACTCATTCTCCAAGGTTAATTCCTCCTCCACAGCCTCAGGCTCCCCCTCCGCCACCACCACCGCCTCAGCAGCAGCCGATCAGAAGCCTGTTCCAGCCTCAGCAGCTGCAGCCTCTGCTTCCTGTGCAGCACCCGCACCACACGTCCCCACCTCAGGGAATGCACATGCCTCCCCAGCTAGAGACCCCAAGGATGATGATGACCCCACCGCCCGTGACTCCACAGCAGCCGAAGAACATACACATCAACCCGCACTTCAAAGGGACGGTGGTCACGCCTGTTCAAGGTCTGTGTTTCCTTTTGCTGTTGTAAAGCATGGATAGCCCCAGCTGCCACTGGCTTGACGTAGGATTTTTCCACTGACGCATTTCGGCTTCGTGAGCATGTGAAAGCAGGGTGCATTCAGTAGAAATCATTTCAGATGTTGCGATTTGAGCTCTCCTGGGGTAGCAACATGCATCACAAGACTCCCTCGAGCTGGGCAGGGGCCTGCAGTTCCCAGTCAGCCCGATGACTGCCAGCTGTGGAATGATGTGGGTGTTCTGAGCCTAGGTAGGCTAAGCTATGGTGTTTCATTGGTTGGCCACATTAGATGCATTTCGACTGAGGGTCTTCTCAACTTGCGGTGGCGATGGGCTTGTTGGGATGTAACCCCAGCCTAAGTTGAGAAGCGTCTGTTACGTCACAGATGACCGTGCAGCTGAAGGCATTTATTTATTCGTTTATTGCACTGAAGCCCTTGCTGTGGGAAAATGGTTTCACACTGAACTTTGTAAGGATTTGTTTTCCTTGGCTCTTCCCCATTCACTTAGATTTTACCTTGACGGGTCAAGCTTATTTCTTTAAAAATGTGTATCTCTTATTGTATGATTGAGTGGAAAGTACTGAGTGTACAGTCTGAATGCAGAGAATACATTAGAGATAGCTACTGGAATGTCTGAGCCGTGGCACTTCGTAGGTTTCCTGGTGAGGATGTTGGCAGTGGTGAGTGTCCCTCTGTGCTTTCAGGCAGCATGCCCCCCTTACATTCCAGTGTCAGCTGGTGGAGAGAGATCCATCTGTCTTTCAGTTGTTATAGTCAAATAAGTGCAGATCTGATGAATACCGAGACATGTTCCTTGAGCTAGGAAGCAGTTTATATGAAGCATTAGCTTCATGTGTCTGTGAACCCACAATGATTGAGCTACTGCTCTGTTTTTGGCATTTGAGTTATGTGAACAAAACAGACAAATCTTTCTTTAATCATGATCTTGCTTTCTAGCAGACAGTCTTCTTACTGCTTATTAGCCATAAACATAAGTATTTTATATGGCATGTTAGAAGATGAAAATGCAATGAGAAATTGAGCAGTATGAGGGGAAGGGATGGGTTGTATCTTAAATAGGGTGATCAGGGTGAATGTCACTGAGCGGGAGAGAGTTGAGGGATATAGTAAGGTAGCAGTGTGGCTATTCAGGGAAGAAGAATGCAGGCAGAGTGATCGGCAAGAATAAAGGGGCTTCCTCTAGGTGAGACCCTGCCTTGTGTGTGGCAAAAAGGAGACCAGCCTGTTGTGAACTGAACGTGAGCCGGGGAATCTCATCCAGCGAGAGGGTCCCAAACCTGGAAGAGCGTGCGCCGGAAAAAAAGGAGATAGAAAAGAGCGAGGTCTGGAGGGCTACATGCGCTATGACCATGCAGCAATTTTATTTTTGCAATGTTTCATTATATACTTTTCTGAAGTTAAAGTTGTTTACGCCAGATCAACGTACTTAAGTTACAGTAAGCAAGTTACGCCCACTAAGTTACGCCCAGTAAGTAAGTTAAGCCCAGTAAGTAGGTTACTTCCAGTAAGTAGGTTACTTCCAGTAAGTAGGTTACGCCCAATAGGTCAAGGTAAGTAAGTTACAGTCACGCCCTGTAAGCCATGGTAAGTAAGTTACAGTTACACCCAGTAAGTTACAGTAAGTAAGTTACCAAGTGTAAATACTTAAGTTAATATTTTACAATGAAGGTAACAAGGGTCCAAAATGAACACAATCAAGCAATAAACCATAAGGAGCCAAAAGTGGACACATTGCCTCCCAAGTCCTCATATCCATACAGTAATGTCTGTTAATTATTTAGAATAACATAGTCCCTCTCTCGGTTCCTGCTTTCCCTCTGCTCGACTCCCCCAACTGGGGATCTGTGTCCGGGCTCAAGCTCACCATATGGTGAGGCCCATTTCCTAGGGGCCTCACACAGGAGCAATCCCCACAGGTCTCCCTTACCAGCCTGACTTTTGAGGCGTGATAAAAGCAGAGAAAAAATGCAGACCCTAGGTCCTGTGGAGCCATGGGGCCATCCTCAGGACTTGGGCAGGGAGTGAAATGGGAGGGATTAGAGAGGTTTGAGCAGAGGAATTATGTGACTGATGTATGTTTTAGAAGGCTCCTCTTGCTCCTGTGTTGAGAGTAGACTGTAGGGTGGCAAGGGTGGAAGCCAGCGTCTAGCTAGGAGGTATCACATGATCCTGCCACAAATCAGTGTGGTAGCAGGGAGAGAGTGGAGGGTTCAGGCCTGGATGAAGTTGGAAGACGGATCTGATAGGGTTTGCTGATGGACTGGATGAGTGTGAGGGGAAGAGAGGAGGTACGAGTGATGCCAAGGGGACCAGAGCATCACCTGATGGGGGCAGACCACAAGTTCTGTTTTGGGTGCATTACATTTGAGATGCCAACTAGCCATGTGGGTGGAGGTGTCTAGTAGACAATTGGATGAAAGTTCAGTTTAGGGATTTGGTCTCAAAGTACAGGTCAGGAGGTTGTTGGTGAATTTCTGGATTTAGACCCTGTACCTGTACACGAATGAGAGGAGGGAGTCTGTGAGTGGGGAGACCAAGGACTAGAATCTAGGGTACTTGACATGGGAGGTGGGGGCAGGAGGAGAGCCCCGCAGAGGAGCTGGGAAGGAGGAAGGAGAATGACAGTCAGCAGGGAAGGAAGCAGGCTGACAGGTCAGTGGTTGTGGCCTGCACTTGGGGGTGGTGCTGGTGAGGAGGAGGCACAGCCTGGCTGAGATGGGGTGCGACCTTGAGAGCACTGTATTGACGGACTTTGTGTTTTGCTGTAACGGAAGTTGGGTGATCATTGGTGGGAGCCAAGTGGGCTTGAGAAAAAGTTTTTTATTCTTTTTTTTAAAAAATAATATATATATATACACACACACACACACACACACAGACACACACACATATATTTTATATTTTAAGTTCTGGGGTACATGTGCAGAACTTGCATGATTGTTGCGTAGGTACACACATGCCATGGTGGTTTGCTACCTCCATCCCGCTGTCACCTACCTCAGACATTTCTCCCACTGTTATCCCTTCCCAACCTCTCTACCCCCTGCTATCCCTCCCCTAGCACCCCACCCCCCAACAGACCCCAGTGTGTGATGTTCCCCTCTCTGTGTCCATGTGTTCTCATTGTTCAACACCCACCTATGAGTGAGAACATGCGGTGTTTGGTTTTCTGTTTTTGTGTCAATTTGCTGAGAATGATGGTTTCCAGGTTCATCCATGTCCCTACAAAGGATACAAACTCATCGTTTTTGATGGCTGCATAATATTCCATGGTGTGTATGTGCCACATTTTCCCTGTCTAGTCTATCATCGATGGGCATTTGGGTTGGTTCCAGGTCTTTGCTATTGTAAACAGTGCTGCCATGAACATTCGTGTGCATATGTCCTTATAGAAGAACGATTTATAGTCCTTTGGATATATACCCAGTAATGGGATTGCTGGGTCAAATAGAATTTCTATTTCTAAGTCCTTGAGGAATCGCCACACTGTCTTCCACAATGGGTGAACTAATTTACACTCCCACCAACAGCGTAAAAGTGTTCCTATTTCTCCACATCCTCTCCAGCATCTGTTGTCTCCAGATTTTTTAATGATTGCCATTCTAACTGGTGTGAGATGGCATCTCAATGTAGTTTTGATTTGCATTTCTCTAATGACCAGTGATGATGAGCATTTTTTCATATGTTTGTTGCCCTCATGTATGTCTTCTTTTGTAAAGTGTCTGTTCATAACCGTCACCCACTTTTGAATGGGCTTGTTTTTTTCTTGTAAATCTATTTAGTTATTTGTAGATTCTGGATATCAGCCCTTTGTCAGATGGGTAGATTGCAAAACTTTTTTCTCATTCTGTTGGTTGCCGATTCACTCTAATGGCTGTTTCTTTTGCTGTGCAGAAGCTGTGGAGTTTGATTAGGTCCCATTTGTCTATTTTGGCTTTTGCTGCCAATGTTTTTGGCGTTTTGGTCATGAAGTCCTTGGCTACCTCTATGTCCTGAATGGTTTTGCCTAGATTTTCTTCTAGGGTTTTTATGGTGTTAGGTCTTATGTTTAAGTCTTTAATCCATCTGGAGTTAATTTTAGTGTAAGGTGTCAGGAAGGGGTCCAGTTTCTGCTTTCTGCACATGGCTAGCCAGTTTTCCCAACACCATTTATTAAACAGGGAATTATTTCCCCATTGCTTGTTTCTGTCAGGTTTGTCTAAGATTGGATGGTTGTAGATACATTGTGTTGCCCCCGAGGCCTCTGTTCTGTTCCATTGGTCTATATCTCTGTTTTGGTACCAGTACCATGCTGTTTTGATTACTGTAGCCTTGTAGTATAGTTTGAAGTCGAGTAGTGTGATGCCTCCCGCATTGTTCTTTTTGCTTAGAATTGACTTGGCTACGTGGGCTCTCTTTTGGTTCCATATGAAGTTTAAGGTGGTTTTTTCCAGTTCTTTGAAGAAGGTCTTTGGTATCTTGATGGGGATAGCGTTGAATCTGTAAATTACTTTGGGCAGTATGGCCATTTTCACAATACTGATCCTTCCTAACCATGAGCATGGAATGTTTCTCCATCTGTTTGTGTCCTCTCTTGTTTTGTTGAGCAGTGGTTTGTAGTTCTCCTTGAAGAGTCCTTTAGGTTCCTTGTTAGTTGTATTCCTAGGTATTTTATTCTCTTTGTAGCAATTGTGAATGGCAGTTCGCTCTTGATGTGGCTTTCTTTAAATCTGTTATTGGTGTATAGGAATGCTTGTGATTTTTGCACACTGATTTTGTATCGTGAGACTTTTACAGTTTCAGACTGCTTATCAGTTTCAGGAGATTTTGGGCTGAGATGATGGAGTCTTCTAGATATGTAATTATGTCGTCTGCAAATAGAGACAGTTTGACTTCCTCCTTTTCTAATTGAATACTCTTTATTTCTTTTTCTTGCCTGATTGCTCTGGCTAGAAATTTCAATACTATATTGAATAGGAGTA